ATATCTGTGTCTGTGTGTGTGTGTGTGTGTAGTTATATGATTAGTGATTAACATTTAAAGGAAAATAAGATAAAATAATAGAGTTAGTGTCTACTACCATGTATTATGCTAACTATTTTGTCACATGATTACAAATCGTGAGTTCTGGTTGGCTGAGCTGCAACTAATTTGTTTATGCTAAACCAAGTCAGTCGGTTCAAATGTCCATGTATTAATTTGCTCCATGTGGGTTATTGGCTCTTGATATCAACCCACGTCACTGGAGAATACGGAAAGGCTAGCAATTGTCCCTTCCATGAATTATACTTTCGAAGTCTTTTTATATACAAACTAAATGTTGAATAATAAGAACCTACAAAGTGGTATGCATGGGCACAAATCAGCTGCTCCGTCAATCCAATGATATCCAGTAAATTAGCATTGCTTTTGTTACTGTGTGGGGTTAGTTCTTCCATGAAATCTTTAGCAAACATCAAATCATAACCAGCTTTTCTGAAAGGAGTAAACCATGTCAGATTCTTTTCATCAGTTGCAACATAAAGTTTCGAAGTGATATTTAAGGCACCGCGCTTGTTTAGCAAATTAAGCCAGTTATCTGGTGAGATATGTTGGCTGGTCGGGTGGTCGGTGCGGCGAACGTGCATAGCATTAAAGGGAAATCCTATTTGACTTTGGATGTTTCTTAAGCGTTTCCAAATTGGAGATGCAAATGTAATAAATTTTATTAACCATTTGTGCGCGTCTAGTGTTCTCTTTTTATCAAGAAAAAGCATTTGACGAAAAAACATTGATCCTTCCTCAAAGTAGATAATATTTTCAGTGCGCTGCGACAACTCATCCAAGATTCCCCAAAAAGGGGTATTGTTAGCATTAGATGAATACAGTGCCATGTCAGCCTTACAACTTCTACGGTATGTAGGTATAGTCTTAAGTTTATGCAACTGCATATCGTTTGCTCGTTGCTTCAGCGCATTCCATGCTTTTATATTTCGGTTTGATGGTAAAGAATCCACCCACAATCCTTGAAATCCATTATGACACACTCGATACCAAGACAAATGCTGATTATCCTGAATAAATGTTGTGTGATTGGTGAAAATTTCTTTGACTGGTAAAAGTTTTGACAACCGACTGAGATCTATCACCTTAGACAGCGGTAATAGTCTTTTGGATGATACTCTGTTGTATACTTGGTGGCCTAAATYGAAAAGATAAAACTTTTTCAAACGTACTATCTCTTGATGGGGTGCCATTGGATGAACGATGAGTGTTCTATTTAGAAGCTTAGCCATGATAACGGCATTTTCAAAGGCAATTCTTTGGTTGTTCCAGCCACCCCCAGGAGGTTGGTAAGTAAAATATTTGCTGCTCTGAATTCGTTCACTATTACAAACACGCTTTCCTTTCACATATATTTTATACTTGCTACTATTACTGCAAATGCCCCTAGAGGACTGCAACTGTGTTCTTGGCAGTTTGTGTGCTGTCAGAACAATAATTACCAAAGCAACTAAAGCCAAGCGAATAAACTGAGATTTTCTAATTCTTCTATTCAGCTTCACTCTTTTCCATGAACATTCAGGCATTAGGTCAAACCAAGTGAGTGACAGTCTTCTCTTGTTAAAGTGTCCACTAACGAAGGCGTCGCTGTGACTTTGTTGCAAAGCTAGACTGTTTGGTCTCTTTGGTGACAAGCGGCTCATGACGATGGAACAACGTTTATGCCGTCGTAACGGGTCAGTAAAATAGCTGTACTTGGACTTAAGAAACCAGAACTAGTTAACCGTACAACCGTCAATGAGACTAGTTTTTTAGATTAGCGGCAATAAAATAAATCCCATACTATAAAAACTAAAAGAAATAGGATGTTGTTTTTGGTCTTATCATTTGTTGGAGTTGATCACCTGTAATAAGACTGTAACCATTCAGCCATTTGGCCAAACAATAAACACCATGTTAAAGGCCATCGCTTCGGTGCACAACTGACAACGCGACTGCAAGGACATCAGTTCACTTCAGAGCAAAAAACGGCTGACTCAAGAAAATATCATCAGAAAAAAGAAAACGGAGTTAATAAAACGAAAACTTAAATACGTTTGTAATATAACCCACCTAACCCTAACCCTAAAGTGGATTGGTGTTGTATCGTGATCGTTACTACAGGGTTATTGTCGCCTACCAGTGGTCACCCGTCAGAAGCGACAAGGGTAGATGATTACGTCATTATTGCAGCTAAACGTGATGATCCCTCTCGGTTGCACCCAGAACTGTTGCATGATCTCATGTCGTTGAACATGCAGGCGGTAGAAAGGAAATGGTCTTTTGTGCTTCCCTTAATCTTTGCTTTGCCTTGTTCGTTCTGTTCTTCACCATCATAATAACGTTGGGGTGCTGTTCGTGTTGGTTTGATTATTATTCTATGGCCGTAGGACGAGACAAAAGTAAAGATAAAGATACATGGTAAGCCCTTTAGATACTAAACTCGTTGCTAATGCAATGGTAATTCTTCTTCTATCAATGGAGCTGATATTGTTTTTTTTTGTTATTACTTTCTAGTCAAGTTAAAATAGAGGATAGTACGAACGAACGAGCCTTAAAGTGAACTATACTACCTGAGGGTTATACAGGCATTCAACAGGTAATGTTTACGATTCAAAAGCGAATTTAAGAGGATAAATGAAGTGACAATTCGAAAGTCTTTTGTGTGTGCTTCCTAATCTCAACTGCAAACCCAGCATCAGCTATTGAATTCTTTTTGTAAAACTCGCGATTATTAGAGCCAATATAGCCAAGAACTAATGGCTTGTACTACATGTACAGTATATACTAATAGTAGCTGTTTACTAACCAATAAACGACGTTATCCAGATCACCGTCTCTCATTACGTTTTTGACTTTTGGAAGGGATTTTATTCGTGAACCTCGCAGTTCAACTTTGAATTCGATTTCTTTTTTCTGGCTTAAAAAACCGTAGTCAAATGAATTAAGCCAATAATGATAAAGGGCACAGAATAGTGACAGGATTTCGTCATCTCTGCATCAAGGAATACACGGTCCACTAGACCCCTTACCTTTACCACCAGGTTGTTTAGAAATGACCACCTGAAAAAGGATTTAGTATTCATGCTACAAGAAATTTGTCCACAAGCGACTAAACGAAAAGTAAAACTCTAAAAAACATCACTCGATATGAACAACACAGGTTTGATACGCATTTTTTTGAAGTTGCCAAAAAATCATTCAATCCCTGCTTTTCTTTTATCGCAGTGAACAGCAAAAGGTGTAATTCGAATTTTAAGTTTGCGATGGAAGAACAAAAAGGTGGATTAGTCATTTGTCAGAGACTCATCGGTAAATCCATGCGTGTCTCTTAGATACCTGTCTCCTGGTGTTATACAAGAACTACAAATTACTAGATAAATGTTAAATTTAGTATTTGGGTTTTAAGAAAATCTCTTAGATAGACTTATGAAACCTAGATTGAATTACGTGAGGTTAGAATCCATAAGTCACCATTGCTATGTGAAGAGAACAGACCAGAATAGCTCGCTCGGCTGTCTCTAATTAGTTAGCACCGTTGATTTAATATCATAACATTATTTGATTTCAGATCTGCTAAAGTGCCAACGAAGGATTTTAACAAAGAAACCGATTGATAGTCCGAAGCTGTTTGTCATATTGGTTTTTGTCACGTGGGTGATGCCTTGTGCACAGGCCACTCATCACTGGATACCTCGTCAACATGAAATGGGTCATAATGTACGCGTGGGGATGCCTCATGCCTTCAGGCAGCAGGAGTTTTCACAGAAAATGCGCTTTGAAGTATTTTACGATGAAAGCATGAAAGACCTTAGCCATTCGAAACGTCTACTTGTTAGGAACAAGTTGATACCAGAAGCAGTAGCTTACTTTCACAACACGCTAAGTGTACGACCAAGCAAATCAAATATTACTCTTCAGCGAACTTGTAAAAACAATGCGTATTATCTGAAAGACACTAGTGGAGATAAAAATGGCGATGTACAGTTCTGTAAACTTGAATGCATCCCAACAAAATGTGGTCCTGTGGCTGCTCCCAAGCAGCATCTCGATCAGTGTCGAATATGTGATACTAGAGGAGTGGAATGTTTGACGATGCCAGGAATGGAATGGAAGGATGGACCAGGAGTGAATAAAGACTTTATTTTATACGTATCATCCATACAGACCTCACACTGCTATTCTGCCAATGCAGTCGCATATGCATCTTATTGTCAACAGGAACAAGTACTAGATCGACCTGTAGCTGGGTTCGTGAACCTTTGTCCAAACAGGCTTGAGACAGGCACAGTGCATTACTCCAGCCTAGTGTCTACAGTTAAGCACGAGATTTATCATGCTCTGGGATTTAGCGCTGGTTTGTATGCATTTTATAGGAAAAGAGACGGATCTCCGTATACAGCAAGGGAGAAAAATGGTCTTCCTTCTTACAATAAGAAATACAACCTTTACCAATGGAGTCCAAGTGTCGTGAGGAAAATAGAGCGAAAGAAATGGGCAGTGCGTCATGGGTATGTCACACACACAGTCCACATGATAGTCACGCCACGTGTTAAAGAAAATGTAAGAAATCATTTTAATTGTAAAAGCCTGGAAGGAGCTGAAATAGAAAATCAGGGAGGACTGGGAACAGAATTTACGCACTGGGAAAAAAGACTCTTTGAGAACGAGGCTATGACGGGCACTTATACACAAAACCCTGTGTTTTCTCGGTTAACACTGGCGCTAATGGAAGATACAGGTTGGTATAAAGCAAACTATAGCATGGCGGATACTCTTGATTGGGGTAAAAACCTTGGTTGTACGTTTGCTAAATCAAGCTGTAAGACATGGATGGAGCAAAATATGGAAGATATGAGTTTAGCTCAACCTTTCTGTTTTACTATTAAACAGGAACCACTACGCATGCGTTGCACGCACAGCAAAATGTCCGTAGCTTTGTGCAATCTTCGTCAATATGATAAAGTACTGCCAGACGAATATCAGTATTTTAACTTTCTTCCTGACACAAAAGGAAAACACCTTGGGACGTTGGTAGGTGACACCGCGTATTATGGTGGAGCAGTAGCCTTGGCTGATTACTGTCCTTATTATCAGAAATTTACACTAAGCGATAAGGGCGGTAAGAAGCGCGAAACCACATGTACGGTAACAGATAACGCACCAGCGTCTATGGACAATTTTGCCCTTGAGTCTTATGGGACCAATTCCAGATGTTTTGAGCAGGGAAGGCAGTGGACTGGTAAGAAAGGACTGCTAACGAGGACCATGCTTGACTGGGGCAGTGGTTGCTACAGATATTATTGTGACGATGGCATTAAAGTTCACATAGGTAATAAGGTATATTCTTGTTTTCAAGAAGGTCAGCATATTGAGGTAAATGGGGTGCTTGGTGAATGGGCCATCAATGGCTCGTTAATTTGTCCATCGTGTCGGCAATTTTGTGGCGACTCCACAGGATGTCCAATGGAAATTGTTGACGATAACACAGAAGATGGATTAGAAAAAGACAAGAAAAGCTTGGCAACCAATACACAACATGCTCCTCGGCATTGGAAAAACATTGTTTTGAGATCAATGTTGAGTGTTTTAGTTTCAATCTATGTACTTTGAAACTTGTTTTATAAGATAACGAAGGCAACGCGAACCACGGCCGAAAGAATAGCTTGTTTTTACTAACCTTTAAGAGGGAATTGTAAAGAAATAATTTGAAATAAAATAAAATCTCACACTATACTACTTTCTTGAAGAAATCAATCAGACAGACAGACAGAAATGCAAACATACCAACAATAGTTTAAGGGGAAAAATAGAAAAAGGCAGAAAAACGAAAAACAAAAAAACATAATCAAAGCCAGATTACAATGCTAGACTAAAGGTAGCTTTGGTTTAAGTAGTTTCTTATACATAGTTACGTAGATATTGAGGTTTTCATTTGCAAATGTAACTGTCATTTAGAAAAAACTCTTTCTCTCTCTGCATTGCAAAACCACATAGAGAATAGGGGACAAGTTGGGGGCCATATCGTGCAAATCAAGAATACCGTCTATCACATTCGTTTAAGGCTGATCTACAGGTTCTTTGCCTTAGACGGCTTTGCATTGTTCTGCATAACTTACACATGAAAATTACTAGTCCATTGTGAGCTATTGTCCTTTCTGGCATGCTTTTCCTCGCTGTTATTCTTTTGTTTCTATTTATAGTATGGAGGACCCATTTAACACTGATCAGGCTAGTAAGCAAGCCATCTTGTACGTGTGCCTCATGAACACGTGCCCTCTGTATCATATAGGAGTCTTGGGGTCCTTCAAAGTACCTAGCATGCTTGGATATCAATTCTCCTAATAACTTCTGAACGTCGTATCTTAGGTTTTCACTTACACCTTGTGGAACAAGATCTGTGATAGAATATAACTCATACCCCTTGTCTTTCAACATACTAAGTTCTTTCTTATTCTTAAACTCTGAGATGACGTATAACCTGTTCGTGATGTTTTGAAATGATTTTTTCTCCATTTCTTTCAAACGGAACCGAATTATATTGTCTAAAATTTGATCACTTTGATTATCAGTGAGTTTGATAGCGTTATAAGGCTTCTTTATATTATGTACTATAGCGCTAATTTTTTCTTGTACATAACTTGAAAACTGAATGTATTTCATGATCCACATCTGGGCCTGCGCAGTGCGTTTCTTAGATAAGAAACGTAATTCTCTGGCAGCGATTGATCCACCGCGAAAGTAAATAACGTCTTTTTGGACGGCGGCCAGTTCTGTTAAGATACCGCGCAACACTGGGACAGTGTTTTCCATATTATGGTCTATCATTTCTATTTCTTCCTCACAAACAGGTTCAACGCCGCTGAAATACGATTTCACTGGTACGAATTCTTGGGCTTCTAGAATTTTCCATGCAAACGTGTTTTTGGGCGAAGGAATAAAATCAACCCAAAATCCCAAATTATCTTTGTGACACACGTCATGCCAAGAGAAATTCATATATTCTTGAAGGAATTCCATATATGTAGACTGAATTGGTTTGACGCGCAGCAATCGATTGAGCAGTCGTATATTGATGACCGCAGAGATAGGCACCGTAAACTTCAATGTCATTAACTTGTATACCTCTGAATCACTTTTTAACTGTACTCGGACAAGTGACCTCAGTCGCTTACCTACAAGTTCGCTTACCAGTGGTTGCGCAAGAAGCGTTCGATTAAGTAGTGTGGCAATGATGACGGCATTTTGAAAAGCAAGGAGCTGATCACTCCAGCTACCAATTGGTGGTTCATAGGAAAGAAATTTGTCGTGTTGCGGAGCTTGTCGGTTAAAGTGAAATCCATCATCGCTCACGTCCAATGGCTGTGGACTAACTATATGTTTGTTTTTCTCAATTATCTTCCTGTAGAGAGGAAATAACTTTGTTGGGCGGTAAAGCAAGGTAAATGACACTATTCCAAAAACTGTGATTATAAAACAGTCAAACGCTCTTTTGATCGAAGTTAATGTCACATGCATTTAGACAGTCTTTTGAGACTTTTTCAATCTCGTAATATCACTAGGGGAGCGAAAAACCAACAGTGATAGATGTGTCATGGAAGTTTAATTACTTCAACTGTTACCAGAATCTGATTGGTCGGATTATATACCTGTTACGTAAACCAATCAAACGCTCCAAAGCACCGTATTCGTTTAACACGGTAACAATCAGTGATAGAGAAACAGAAAAACCCCAGATAGATGGCTAGAAAGTACATATTTTTATTGGGTTCATCTTTGTCCATGGAAGTGCACATCAACGCTTCTGGTAAATCAGCATTCTTCCATGTTAGAAATCTGTGTAGAATACGTAGATATTTGTCTACCGTGTCTACTGAAACGGTTAGTGCATGCGTTTATTACATCTTTAGAACCGATTTCTGCAGCGTTAAAATTAACTCTGATTACTGCTGTCCTTTATGTCGCACCAGACTATTTAATCCAAAAGTTGCAAAGCGTACAAAACTCCTCCGTCGGCAAGACTGATTAGCTTAACTTATCACTCCTGTGCTCAAAGAACTTCACTGGTTACCGGTAAAAGTCAGAATTGAGTATAAGTTGATTTATTATATAGCTAGGATAGTACGCGCGCGCTGATTGATAAAAACTGTGCTTCATTAGCGAACGGAGAACAGAGCTGACGCTATCCGCGCGCGCAATTACTGCTAGATCCCGCGGCCGTCTTTCTTTTTGCGTTAATGAATTCAATATCGAAAAAAAGTGGCTAAGTAATAAAACGAATAAAACAGATTTTTCCATGCTCCATTCAGTAATGGAAAGGCACTAGTGCAGTTTTCGTATGACTGTACAAAGCTCAGTGCCGTGTCGTGACGGTGATGTTTTCTATAATTTTGATTGGCTGATTTTTTTCTCGCGCAATGTGATTGGTCTGAAAGTGCCGTGACTTTCGCGTGACCGTGTCCGCGCCGTGTTTATGCCGTGGTCTGGCGTATCCCTAGCCGTGTCAAGAACGTGTTCGTGCCGTGAGCTTTTCACAGTCATACGAAAACTGCTCTAAGCTATCTACAAGAGTGGGTATCAAGCTCTATTCACCGACGCGAAGCCTGCGTTCTACATGCAAGTGGTACCTCGAGTCTCCACCATACCACCTGTGAGAAGTCATGGCCGCAAGTGACACTAGATTTGTATGAGATTTCTCAGATTTTTTATCAGTTTTTAATGATATATGACTATTACCAAGAGAATATGAACTAAGAGAAGGAATCCTACCTATATAGCCTTGTAACCATCATGTCCACAGTTTGATGCTATTTTTAGCTTAGAGATATTTTGAGCGAAGAACCTGATTGGTTGATTTCTTGAGGGTATGCGGCTTCCAGTCTTGCAGTAAACAAAAGCCTGCGTCTTTGTCGTGGACGTAGCGAAATATGGCGCTTTTCGTGTCCTAAAACGAGGCATTAAAGGGAAGCATGATTATCGCGCAGACATGGTGACGAGTTAACACATAATTATTTATTATTGCTTTACTTTTTACTATCAAAGGGTAAGATTACTAACGGACTGAATAAAATTCCCCTGACAATTATACTCTCCCTAGTCTCCAGAATTTCAAGTTAAATGAAAGACATCCATTGTAATTTTCACTAAACCTGATATCGTGTTGAATGATCTGTAGATATCTTTGATTTTTTAAGTAAAAACTAGTAAATGTCGACCATAAAAGATCTCTGTGGAAGGATTTTTCAAGAACAACAGAGTAGAGAACAGCAGAGTAAAACTGACGAGTTTGAAAATGGGCACTCTTATCTGAAGGTGTTGATGGGGTTATAGTTAACTGACATTTTTCCTAAATGTTTGTCAATAACAGTTATTTAATAACTGATATTTTGTTATTTTTGTTAATATTATGGCCAGCGCTTATAAAATTATTAACAGTTAGCTTATAATTGACTTACAAATTACTAAATTAAACCGACTCGGGTATCCCCATTCACACCCCCTCTTATCTGACCCACGGGGACCGGGCAATGCTACGTAGCTATGTATATAAAAAGCGGAAAACATTTATAGAAATTTAAAAAGAAAWTATGTTAAGTTAGGAAAGACAGTAAAACATAATTCTACTTTTTCGTAGATCGATATTGTTAAAATGCATGATAATGTTGATCGAACCGGTTAAAAGCGACTAAAGATTTGAAGCTACAATAAAAAATGTATAAAAAAGAACAATCTTTTTTGCATAACGTGGGATTCGAACCCACCAAAAGAACTCAAAAAAAATCGATTCTACTTTGCCATACCCCCGAGACATCCGCAGAGCTGAGGCGTCGTATGGACTTCGGACTTGACGGCGATTAAATCCTTCTGCCCTTGGGTGTACGAATTACGCAAGAAAATGTTCTAGCCGAAGCATCAGGGGAGAGACCAGCCGGCCCCCAGACCAT